CAATTTGGAAGATAATTGGCAGTGTCTTAAGAAGTTAAACGCAAACTTACCATAAGACCTGGAAATTACATTCCTAAGAATCTATTCAAAAGAAATGAAAACACAATGTATAGGGTGGGGCAAAAGTAGGTTTACAGTTGTGAGTACATGAAACACAGTTTATTCTTATTTATTAGTGTACAACTGTAAACCTACTTTTGCCCCACCCTGTATATCCACACAAAGATATGTATGTGAATGTTCATATTATTTATAATAGTCAAGACTGGAAACAACCCAAATGTCCAATAACCAAGTAATTGTATAAACAAATGTAGTATATTTACACAATGGGATACTATTTCTCAATTAAAATAAATTAACTGACACATGTGCCAACGTGGATGAACCTCAAAAGCACTAAGCTAAATGAAAAAAGCCAGATTTAAAACACTACACTGTTATGTATAGTATCAGTATCAGTTAAGTGATTTCTGCTTCACTTATTTCTTCTGAAAGAAGCATAGTTTAGTCACCTAGCAAATGTCTCTAATGTTTTATAAATATATTTAACAAAGTATTTTTGCATATATCTATCAATCAGCCCTCAAATGTGTGCTTTTACAGTTCAGAAACAAACTTATGATTTACTAAAATGACTTTTTTAACTGACATAGTAAACACCTGAGAAGACACTTGGCTGCAGAGATAAAAACATGCATGCATGTTGTATATAAGCACAAATGAGTATCATGAAATATCTATAATAACAAAAGTGTAATATGTTAATTAGACTGGACGTCCTTCCGGATGAAGCCAGAGCTGTAAGGGAAGCCTGAGTCCTGGGTGCCGGAGGGAAGCCAATGCTGGCAGCTGGGAGAAGGAAGGCCTATTCGTGAGTTTTGTGCATCGGGCCTCTAGTTTAACCATAAAACAATGCCATTATTCTTAGATCACACTTAAATAAGTGCTGATACCTTCCACTAGTTATCTTTAAAAGCCTATTCTAGTCCTGGCTGCTGTGGCTCTGTTGGTTAGAGCATCGTCCAGTACACCAAAAGGTCTGGTTCGATTCCGTCAGGGCACATACCCGGTTTCAGGAGGTGGCCAATCGATGTTTCATTATCTCATCTCTCCCAACTCTCCCATCGCTCCCTCTCCTTCTCTTTCTTTCTCTCTCTCTCTCTCTCAAAAAATTTTTCTAAAGTCTATTCTAATAACCCTAGTATAACTCAAAGTAATTTTATAAACTAAAGAAAAGCTAAACATATATGCCAATGCTTATTTTTAAAGTTTCTTCAAAGCCATAAGCACGTATCTACATTATTAATGTACAAAATAATTTGTTAAAACACTATGTGCTAAGCACAAGTCTAATAATCTTCCCAATAACTATAGAAAGTACCTTTTAAAATTCAGATGAATCATAAGAAATTGCCTTTTTGTGGGTCAAAATATACATTATCCACACTTCCATGGCAAAACTAAGCCCCAGTTACAAAGTAAGTAGCAGTTAATCTCTTACACAACATATTTTTTTCCCCACATTCAAAATAGAAAAGACATACCTTCCCAGTAGTTTGTGAATGAAATAAATTCAGTTAGAAAAACTACTATTTCCCAAGGAGCCTTTGGTTGGCTACAAGTTCAACAGGCACTAATTCTAGGCCTAGTTTCCAAAGAAGTCAATATACTGGTAATATTATTAGAAATAGAGTCTGTCTACAACAAGAAAAAGAGCAGTACTATACTCATCCTGATCAGCTATGTCCAGAATATTTACAATTTGAATATTTCTGGGGAGAGTGCTCAGAATGGTGATGGTTCTGACACTAGATTTAAACAGGAAACCATGAATGAAATTGGCAATATTTACCAATGTAGGGGAATCCCCAATAGAGGAGACCGATAAAAGATACAACTTGGTTAAGTTGGACAAACAATGGATTTGATGGGAGAAAATGGTTTGAAAGCAAAAATTGTGGACTCAGTTATTCACAAGTTATATCACTTTATTTACTTGATATAAGACCTAAGTCTCTTCTTTCTTAAAAGGGAATTAACTCTTAACCTGTTGTCATGAGGTTTAAAATAACATATATGAGACTCTCTGAAACAGTGAACAGTGTGTGTGACATATGTAAAGTATTATTTGTATATCTGAAATGCTTTGTCACAAAATAGAAAAGGTTGAACTGAATTTACTCTGAGGTGTTTCCAAGAATCAAAAGGTGGAAATTACAGAGGCAGTCATCTTCATGGAGCTGTCCAACAATGAAATGCCATGCTGTGTGAAGCTCTTGGTCATTGTCCAAACGTGCCCAAAAGAGACTGGCTACATCAATTAAGGATGCCACAGAGTATATTCTGGCATTAAATTCTTAAGTTTCTTCTCAAATCTAAGCTCACAATTAAATGACTTTAAGCCAATTCCAAAAACCAAATTCACACTCAAATGATAAACACCTGTTACTACTAGGAATACAAAAAACAATTTCAAAAGGGTAGTGCCAAGGTACTTATGAACATCAGCTGCACCACTGAAACAAAGGGGAACGGAATATTCATTTGTGATAAGCCTTCAAGCATGGATGTTTGCAGTGAGAAAGAGGGGGATAAAGCTCATTATTATTCATTTAAAGAACAAAACTTCAGTCCCACTTGCATTTAGAAAACATCAGAAGGGCTAACTTGTCACAACTACAAAACCCCCCTCCCCATGCCAACTCCACCCACTTCCTCAACTTTGCAAACATTGATACCAAAATAGTGAGCTGAAATTTTTAAAATTGTTCAGCTGTGACAATTTGATATTTTGTAAACTGGCTAGTAGGCCCATAAAAAGCAATTTTAACTTTTATTTGGGGTAACCTGGGCAGGCAGAAGCAGTAGGGTTTTCTCACTGACAATATAAAAATTAGTCATATTATATGTACTCCTTTGCCTTATTTTACCAAGACTTTTGAGGTAAAATATTCCTAATGAGCATTCTATGATAGAAGATGTCAACCACCAGGTGGCACCATTTCAGGAAATAAATAAACCAAGAGTAAGCAATACATAACTAATAAAGAAAAGGGAGTAAGCCGTCCAATTACACCATTTAGCAGATCTATAATTACAAGGAGTTTGAAAACCCATCATTATTTTAATGCCACTTTTGTTTTCTTTGGATCTTGCTATTGTGTGGCTGCACCAAAAATAAATTTACACGACAGTTGCAATTTCTAATGTCATTTTTAAAACAAGCAGAAAGCAGGACCACAAAAGTCTCTGAAAAAAATCTGTTCTCCAGAAAAACCTGTAAACCAGTATTTAAAGCTTTCTAAAACATATTTTTAAAGCCCACATTTCAGAAAGCACTGGAATTAGTTAAATTAGTACTTCTCCAACTATCATTTTAAATAATGCACCATATTTAGCAGAGGTAGCAGACATAGCAGATAACAGCAGGCCACCTACCCTACCTACTTGTACTTATCACAGCTGCAAAGTGACCAAATCTAAACAAATGCTGTTAAGTGACTGGTATGCCCAACGTACAGACCGGGCCCCTCCGCTAACAGAGCAACCCCGGGGCTCAGGGAGGACTGACTGCAGGGCTCGAACTTCCTCGCATCCTTTCCTAAGGAATGGGTCAAGCTGTAGCTTCCCCTGAACACGTACCAGCACTTACCAGGTGCTGAGCGCTCTGCCCCGTCAGGCGAATTTCCGGGGAGAAGTGGGGGGACTTAATCCATACACCCCAAAGAACACACAGGCTAATGAGGGAATATCCTTATAGCTGCACACAGTATACAACTGAGCAAACAATTATTTGCTCAATAATTGTTTGCTGAATGTTGAGTTTAGGATTATCATAGATTTGAAAATTGGTTCAGACCTCAACATAGTGGTGTGTTTTGTTTTTTTTAAGGATGGAAATAAGGCTCATTTAAAATCAGCTAAACACGTGTATGTATAGGAAAGGAGATCCAAAGGGGGTCACAACAAAATTCCTTTACCGGCACAAACTTCTTCCATCCGTTTAAAATTTTACATAAAGGTTTCCAGAACTTGGGTTTACTTACAGCGCCCGTTGTGAAACCACGGGCACGATCATCTTTAAACCCGATGAAAGGGGTGTGGAGGGTGCATTCCCTGAGAAATGTACTGACGGGGATCTTACAGGACTGTCCCATCGCAAGACGGATTGGTGCCAAGGTTCACTGCAGCTGAGATGCGCCTTTGCAGGCTTTTATCTTCTACAGGCAAATTCTAAACTACATAATCAAGAGCAATAATCATGCAATTGTATTGAGCGCTCGCCGTGTCAAACACGGTGCTAAGGACCTCCCTTCTCACAATCGATGCAACGGGTTTATACCCATTTTTCAGGCGTGGACGCAGAGGCTCGGGGAAGGGAGAAGCCCGCGCTGGGTCAGAAGGCTCGAGAGCGACGGGAGAGACGACAGGAGAGTGAAAGCTCGAGGCCACGCCTGCCCTCAGCTAGGAGCAGGTCCTCAGCCAGAGCTGCGGGCGGACGGCTCAGGACGCACCTGTGGCGACTCCGACAAAATCCTCGGCGCCAGGCGACGGCCGCCCCGAGGACTGGGCCTTCCAGGTCCCAACCTCCAATGGCAACAGGAAAGTCCCCACAGGACGCGACGCCGAGGGGCGCTCGAGAGCGGGGACAGGTGGGTGTCCCGCGGCCTCCCCGGGCGCCGCGGTCGGAAACAGCGCGCTCCTCTGAACCCCCCGACTCCCAAGACTCACCGCCTCACGGCCACACCTGAAGAGCTGGAGCGGAATTCACCAGCGAGCACGCCTCACCCCAAGTCCCGCTGGCCGGGGCGCCAGAGCGGGTGAGCTCCGCAAGGAGAACGCTCCTACGCCCTCCACAGCTGACCTGCTGGGCCAGCCCCCGCCGCTCGCCTCCTCTGAGGCGCATGCGCCGCCCGGCCAGGACGGGCCCATTTTTGGGGAACTGAAGGGGGAGCCAGCCCACAGAGGCACGGTGAAGCCTAAAGAGCAAGCTGAGCCAACAAGTCAGATGTCGTGTCTGAGACTAACTGCATTTAAGCAATATTCTCTGCTGAGAAAAACGACGTGAGAGCTCTCCGAGTTTCACTTCTGCCGCTTCCCCCACGCGGCCCCCTGCGAAGGAGAGACAGTCCAAAGTTTGCGCCCCCGGTGGGCGGGGCTCCAGGGCGGCGGGGACTGCCATTGGTGGCTTTGAAGGCGCAGCGGGCGGGAACAGCTGTAAGAAGTGAGGCGGCTGGCGGTGTGAACGGTAAGAGAGCCCCTAACGGCATGGAATCGGGCCCCAGAGGGTGGAGAAGGCCCGAGAACCCACATCCCAAGCCTCTGAGGCAACTTTTTGGGACTGCCACACGCCCCCAGGCGGGGGACTGGCGCTTGGTCCCGGCTGGAGGCAGAAGGGCTGGAACTACGGATGAAGCTGGCTAGCGCTATGACGCTTGGTCGTGACCTCACATCCGCCCCTGTGGGGGCGGGGCTTACGAAGGCGTGCGTCAGAGCTGAGCCGCTCCGAATGGTCACGTGACGGCCTGCTCGGCTAGCCCAGCCTTAGGTTGCTGTTTTGCCCAGTGTTGGGTGTTTTGATTTTTCAGTTAACCTTGGCGTCCTTCCTCTTAGGTCCATGCAGCCTCCCGCGTTACTTCTTATGCTCCTTGTTGCAGTTCTTTGGCGGTGTAGTTCTATAGGAAGGTTACTTAAAAGGGCTCTTTTCTGTCATGCGTTCATTCAACATATATATCTGGAGCACCTTCTATAAGCCAGGCGCTGAGCTGCATGCTAGGAAATAAGAAATTAGGTCGCCGAAACCGGTTTGGCTCGGTGGATGGAGCGTCGGCCTGCGGACTGAAGGGTCCCAGGTTCGATTCCGGTCAAGGGCATGTACTTGGGTTGCGGGCACATCCCCAGTAGGAGATGTGCAGGAGGCAGCTGATCGATGTTTCTGACTCTCTGTCTCTCTCCCTTCCTCTCCGTGAAAAATCAATAAAATATATTTAAAAAAAAAAAAGAAAAGAAATTAGGTCATCACAGGGAATCAGAGTTTACGCAAGAGTTTTCCGACTTTGTTAGTGAGATTAAGTGCGCTCTTTCTACCAAAATTCTTCAGAATGGCATTCTACAAACTTTACCCAACATTTTTGGAATCTTCTGAGGCACTCTAAAATGCAGAATCTCAAGCCCTACTTGGTGACTTGAGTGTGTCTAGCATGCATAAGTGCTCCTTAATTTGTTACATGAATTAGTAAATGAATGAATGGTTTCCATATTATTGCCTTCAAAAGTTCAGAATACTCTAGCCAAGAAAGGAGAGAGAGCACTAATTTTTAAAAACTCTAAAAGACATTTAAATATACAGCTTACGGAGAAAGTTATTAAATTCTCTTGTTAAAACACTTTGCAGATTGCCTGAGAAACAATAAAATAAACATTTGGGTGTTTGACCTACAAATCAAAATCCCAGGCTAAAAATATGATTTTTTTAAAAATTAACTGTTAAGTTAAACTTGTGCTGTTTTTGTTTTATTACAGTGCCAAAGAAATGGATGAAATTGTTGCCGAGTTTATCAAGAGGACCATCTTGAAAATCCCAATGGCTGAAATGATGACAATCCTGAAAGCCTGGGATTTTTTGTCTGAAAGTCAACTGCAGACCATAAACTTCCGGAAGAGAAAGGAATCTCTTGTTCATGACTTGGTTATGCTTTGTGAGGTAACAATATTCAAAATGATTAACCTTGAACTTCATGCTTTGGTTTTTTCTTTGTTCCCTTTGTCCAAAGAGATTTAAGGCAGCTGCTAAGCTGTGAAGTGATGAGGCTACGTACTACCATAGTGGAGAAGACACTAATTTTTAATTGGCTTTTCAGCTTATCAAAACTGCTTACAAATCATTAAGAAAAAAGTGAATACCATGTGAGAAAAAAACAGACAATTCAAGTAATGAGCAGTATTCTTTTTATACCTATGAGATTGTCCACGATGAAAAGATAATACTCAGATGTGCTGGTCAAGTTGTGTAGAAAGAGATACTCTTTCACATGTATTTATTTATTTATTTGCTTTTTGCTTTAAAAAGATTTCAGACTTTCAGAAAATTTGCTAGTACAAAGAATTCCCATGTTCCAGTATACCCTTCCCTTAGTCACTTTTAAATAAATATACTTTATGACCCAGCAGTTCCACTTCTGGAAATTAATGTGGGTAAAATCATAAAAAATAAAGAAATGTATATAAATATAATTGATAAACATATGTATGTAGTTATAAATATGTAAATATATATAAATAAAGACGTTAACTAGCATTGTTTATAAAAACAAAAAATTGCAAACAAACAACTATACATAGAAGATGATTATACTCCACATAAAATATTATTCAGCTATTAGAAAGAGTAAATTAGATGTTTGTGTGCACATTGAAAAAAACTATATGCTATGCATACATATAAATGTATAATGTATAAAATAGTGGTTCTCAGCTGGGATGAATTTTGTCTTCTGGAGGGTACAATGTCTGGAGACATTTTTGGTTGTCAAAACTGTAGGTGTGGGGTGCTACTGGATTCCAGTGGATAGAGGCCAGGGACGCTTCTTAATGTCTTACAACAGCTCTCCACAACATAGAATTAATTATCTGACACAAAACGTCAGTAGTGCCCAATTAAGAAACCCTGTTGTTGAGAAGAACAAAACAAAAATTAAAAGTGATGAATGAGGAGTAAATTGTGGGAGAACAGGTGTAAGTACCTGTACTAAACATGAATCAGAAGGTGTATTTGTTACTTAACGGGAGAGTAGATCGGAGACAGGTTAATAAAGTATTGAGAGGGTGCTCATAGTCTGTCCTAAGCAATTCTAAAATGTGCTGTGATTCTAGGGTAGAATCAAACCGATAGCCATGTTTACTGAATATTTTACCTTTTCTTTCAGGAGAAGCCTGCGAATGTCAATGATGCTGCCCTTTTAGACATTATTTGTAAGTTCTGGTGGTTTGTATTTATATTGAACCAATACAGTTTCATCAGAGAGGTAATATTGTAGATAAGGGCTCAAGTTGACCTGGTGTGTAAAATCCCAGCTCTATCGCTTACCAATCCTGTGTCCTTTGCCAAGTCACATTGCCTTTCTAGGCCCCAGACTTCTTCTAGTAAATAGAAATAATAATAGCACTTGTTAATATAATAACATTATAATAATATAGCACAGGATCGTTGTGAGGGTTAAATGAGATCATGCTTGAAAGGTTCTTAGCACAATGACTGGCATATATAAGTACATATTAATAGAATTGAAAATATATTTCTGAAAATTTGTTCTTATAGTGCATCTTGTAAGGGATGTAAAGATTAAAACTGACTGGACTTTGCACGTGGTGTGGTCTAGGGCAGCAGTCACCAACCTTTCGGACCTCGCGGACCACCGCTTGGAGACCACTGGTTTAGGGGGACTGAGTGGGAGGAGCACACGTGGCTCCGGGGTTTATAGGTGCAACTAGAAGGACAGTGGAGCCCCTTGCTAAGTAAGATAGGGAACACTAGAGGTGGACCGTTTATGTCACAAAGATCATAGATTAGCCTAGGACATGTTCTGTTTGAGGAAGTGTCTTCATGTATTTAAGTCCTTGCCACTTAATCATGAACTTTTGCATGATGTTTAATGGAATCATTACAACAAAAATTTTAATTTCTATTATTATTATAACAACCTTATTCAGAGATCAGTTAGCAGGCTATCTTAACTCTGAAATACAGAATCAAGAAAAAAATACCAGAAAGGAACAAAAGCGCTTCAGATGCTGTCTCTTGGGCAGGCATCACATTGTGCCAGATTACACCTGTTTAGACAAAACTTAGGGAATCAAGAATTGTCAGGCCATTGCTATAAATGGGGTGAGAGGGAGATCTGGGGACACCAGGCACCAAATATAAAACAAAAAAAACCCCACTAAACTGTAGGAAGGACAGAAAGTAAAAAAAGCACAGTAAGTTGGTGCCCTTGTGTGTTGGGGTCAACAGCCCCTTTTTATGGGATACAGAGCACCTTGGTCCTAGGTGCAAAGACACAGGGATGCAGGTGGAGGTCAGTACAGGGACAGAGTAAAGCCGGATGATAATGTAGTGGGATTGAACTTAAAAACTTCCTAGGTCCATTTTTACTCCAAGACACTCTTAAGTTTATAACTCCTGAAGAGTGTCTTCTATATCATTCATTCATTCATCAGATATAATACGGAGTGCCAGCCAGTGTCTAGACACTGAATACAACAGTGCACAAGACAAAGTTGTGTATTCCACAGGATTCTAGTTGGGGAGACAAGCAGTATACAAATGACTACCTAAATATATGATGTGATGTAGGATAATGGTAAGTGCTATGAAGTAAACTAAAGCAGGGTGGGGTGGGAGGGTCAGTTTGGGTAGGGTGATCAGGGTAGGCCACTGCATAGGAGGCATTTTATTAGAGACTAGATGAGGTGCAGGAATGAAGTATGCAATGAGCTAGAAGAAGAATGCTCCAGACAAAGGAACACCAGTTATGGGGAGCACACCATCCCTGGCATGCTCAATAAATGCTGCATTCTGTGTGGAAATAAATGATCTGACTTAAGAGTAAATGCTAAAGCTCTACTAGATTGAGTAATTCTTTATGACGTGTTTTATTTGGAGTAAATTTCATCCATGTAAAATTTATCTTTGAATAAAAATGTATAACCGAATTTATAAATTACTATTTTCTCCACCTTCGTGTTATTAAAAATAACATGAAGGTGGAGAAAATAGTACAGTACTTAAGCACAGTACAGTACTTAAAAGTTCTATGATATAATAGCAGTAAGTTCTTCTTCCCTCTCTCAGATACTCAATTTCATCGGCACCAGAAAGTTTGGGATGTTTTTCAGATGACTAAAGAACCAGGTAACATTTTCCCTTTTAAAGTAAACATTTAGCGGGCCAAGGGGTTCAATGGGGAAAAGGGGGGACATATTTAGTACTTTCAACATAAAGATTTTAAAAAATAAAGAACTTATCTAAAAAATAATAATAATAAAGTAAACATTTACATTTGACATTTTGGCTATTTAAAAATGAATAGCAGTATGTTCCTCTTAAATCACTTTTTTTCCAAAATGAGGTGATTATTACTCTTTTTTGGGAAAATGAAAAATATATTTGGCAATGCTGTGTCAGAGTACCAGCAGCATCTCTGTGATTTGAATATTATTGCTCTTTGAGGTTATACAAATGCTTGCCTCAGGGTCTTTGAAATGTATTTATTGAAGACATTGTAGCTCCCTTAATTTTTCTTAATTTATCTTTTCATTTTGACAGGTGAAGATATTGACCTTTTTGATATGAAACAATTCAAAAGTTCATTTAAGAAAATTCTTCAGAGAGCATTAAAAAATGTAAGATTAAAATCTTTCTGAACTTCAATGAAATTCAATTCCATGCATCTGTGCTACTACCTTTTTTTATTTGTAAGAATTTCAAATAATATTATTCCATACTATTCTAGTTCATAACAAGAAAGAACTTTTTATTATGCAGACTTTCTGCTCACCTCTCTCTTTTAAAAAATATTTTTAATTGATCTTAGAGAGAGGAAGGAAGAGGGAAAGTGATATAGAAATATCAATGATGGCCGAACCGGTTTGGCTCAGTGGATAGAGCTTCGGCCTGCGGACTCAGGGGTCCCAGGTTCGATTCCGGTCAAGGGCATGTACCTTGGTTGCGGGCACATCCCCACTGGGGGGCGTGCAGGAGGCAGCTGATCGATCTCTCTCATCGATGTTTCTGGCTCTCTATCCTTCTCCCTTCTTCTCTGTAAAAAATCAATAAAATATATTTAAAAAAAAAAAAAAAAGAAATATCAATGATAAAAGAGAATCATTGATCTGCTGTCTCCTGCACGCCTCACACTGGGGATCAGCCCACAACCCGGACATGTGCTTTGACTGGGAATTGAACCATGACCACCTGGTTCATAGATTGACGCTCAACTGCTGAGCCACATGGGCTGGGCTCCCCTCCTGAGGATCTTATTTAACTGCAACAGATTTTACTTAAATAGCCATGGGTGCCTAGTGGCTCTTGTTATGGTTAGTGCAGCTCAAAACCACCCACAGAATCTTTCTGCCATTCCATTTCCACAAGCACCACCTTATTGTCGTAGGTTTGGGCAATCTCTCCTTCATTCTCTTTCCATGTTATTCTGTCTTAGTCCTCCTTACATATAAAAGCATGCCAAAAAATCACATTTGCCATGCTATGGCTGTCCTCCTTAGAGTAGTAGTGTTCCCTCTTTTTTCATACACAATTCTTTGATCTTTCCATCACTTTACCTCATCCTTTGTAACTTGTCATTCTTTCTACGCATCCACTTGTCAGTGAACATATTTTCTTTCTTAAAATGACCCTTCTTCATGTGCTTTGAACCCATCTCCTACATCCTCATAGGGCCTACATCTTTGTTTTTCTCTCTTCTTTCACATTCTCAACCCCTTCATCTACTGATGCCTACTCTAATGCTTATAAACATGCCTAAATCCTAGTAAAAGTACATCCATTCTCCATGCTCATCTTTAAGCATAAAACTCTTGGAAGGAAATATTTCTTGTCCCTCATGTAGGAGTCCCTTCATCACCACCCCTTCATTTTTCTGAGGATCTTGCTATAAGAATATAAGATGGAACACCTGGTATCTGAGGATCTTGCTATAAGAATATGAGATGGAACACCTGGAGGCCGGCTGTTCAGAATTATACTGATTCTGTGGACGCCTTTTTTTTTTTTTTTTTTAGCCCATTGATTTTTTTAACCTTTTTTGGATCGGATATAGACCCTTATGAAAATTTTGATATGTGATACAGCATGTCTCTCCAGAAAACATACATTTAGATTTATATACCTGACTGTGCATCCAATTCAGGGAGGTCACGGGCTTCTTGGAGCCCTCATTTGAAAGATTCTCATTCTGGGCTTGAGAGACTACTTGACTATGTTGAGTGCTACCAGTTTTCTCTCTCTAGTTAAAGTGTTCCCTCCATATATTTTATTTAGTCTTGATTTTACAGGTGTTTTTACTTTGGTAACGTGACGCAAAGAGGCTATTGAGAATAAGACCCTATCTTCCACTCAAGGCAGTAGCGGTCCGCTTGTTGGGACCAATCGCTGTGCTGCTCACTCAGGGAGGGTCAGACAGCTGTGCACCCTCCACGCCCAGGACTGGGGAGGGCTCCTTGTCTCCTGCACCAAGGGGATTTAGAAAAGCAGCCAAATAAAGAGTGGGCAAAGTCAAAGCAACTGCCTTCTTAATGCCAGCAGTCACGTTACAACCAAATTACTGGAGTAAGGTATAAGAGGGTGGGAATGAAGAGACATGGGCCAGCCAAGTACACCTGTCTCAAGTACTGCCTTTGCAGGGTCTGAGCTCTGAGGGAAAGCTGAGTCAAGGGGGAGCTAATAACTAAGAGTAGGCTACTGAATTCCAGACGAACTGATAGTCATATTTAAAAGTTTAGGAAGGTCTACATTTTATCCATGAAATGGAAACCAAATAGAATTTCCTATTCTCATCACATAACTTTCCTTTAATTTGTAGCATCTCAGCTAAATGCATAAAAACATTAGGATTAATATATTTTTAAGCCTATATATATTCATATATATTTTAGTGTTGCTATTAAATTTAATAGTGCACCCTAGTTCTATGTTCCATGCAAAAAAGGCTCCATTTTATAACAAATATCATTTGTAAGGCTGCCTTCATGAACTCTTACAGGTAGAGGAACAGTTTTTCAGGACAAGCCCAAGAAATTATTGAAAAATTCTGATATCACACCATGATTGTAGGTTTTTAATTTTTTTTTCTTCCAAAAGACTTTGCAAAGCAATATATATGTCTGCAAAACAACCCCAAAATATTTTCTCAAAGATTCCCAAAACACTGTAAAGAAAAGTAGGAGAAAAGACTGTGTGGAAGATTACAGTGACATCCTTCACCCCTAGAAAGCACATGTTGGTGCTACAAGATTTTAATTAGGAAACTTAAATTTTCTTTTTTAATAAGGTATCAGTCACCTTCAGGGACGCTGAAGAGAATGCAGTATGGATTCGAATTGCCTGGGGAACACAATGTAAAAAGCCAAACCAGTACAAACCTACTTACGTGGTGTACTATTCCCAGACTCCGTATGCCTTCATTTCTTCTTCCAGGCTGAGGAGCAGCATTCCCCTTTTGGGTCAGGTATGGAACCAGTTACTACAGCTATAAAGTTGTATTATCTTATCTCAAAGGTCTATGTAGGTTTAAGCACTATGTAAAATGCCACATGTAATTCTTGATTTCCTAAAATGAGGAAGAGTGGTTCTTCTGCATATGGGAAAGTGGTATAAGCATTGGTTCGGAGCTCTTCATTATTGTCTTTTAATCTAGAAGTAATGCGTATTTAATGTAAAACTTCAACCAACACAGAGGTCTTTAAAGATCACCCCTTAGTCTTTTAAAACTTCATATCCTTTTTCCGAATCCTATTTACCCAAAATAATTACTGTTAACAGTTTTGTTATTTCCTTTCAGATGTTTTATTACAAAAACCAGAATAGCATATCATCTGTCATTTGCTTTTTTAACATTTCCATGTGTTTCCATATGATACACCTCAACTTTTTTGTGACTGCATAATTTGCCTATTAATAACATTATTTTCATTTGTAATCATTTTCCTTACATTCTGTGCACAAGAAGGAGCCTCTACTCACAGCCTGCTTCTTGTTATAGCTCTGGCTTCCTAGCATCTTTCCCCCGAATAAGCCATCCCTACGTAGGCCTGGCAACTGCTGCTGCTTCCAGTCTCTAGTGCCGTGGTTCTCAACCTTCTGGCCCTTTAAATACAGTTCCTCATGTTGTGACCCAACCATAAAATTATTTTCGTTGCTACTTCATAACTGTAATGTTGCTACTGTTATGAATCGTAATGTAAATATCTGATATGCAGGAAGGTCTTAGGCGACCCCTGTGAAAGGGCCGTTCGACCGCCAAAGGGGTCGCGACCCACAGGTTGAGAACCGCTGCTCTAGTGGCACCTCGGTGCCAGAGCTACCACTTAAGCTGGTTGTAGGTGAGCAGCTCCACCATCCAGGCTCCATCATCTCTAGTAGAGCAAGCACTCCACAGTATGGATCTACGAGCCTTAGGATCCTGGCGGGCAGACTTGCTTGTCATTTGAATTCCTTGGCTCTTTACTGAAATGGCAGAAGGATTTCTGCTACATGCTTCTACTTCCCTTTAACACTTAACTCTGCTTCTTTATGTTTGGGATCTTTTCCTCCTTAATATATACTAGTAGTGGTGGTTCATAAACTTACAGCCAGATGAGTCGCCCCTGCCACAGCTAGTTTAAACATTGCCCCACAAGCTAATGTTTATTTCCACTGTGAATCTTAAGGCAAACTTATCTCTATCCTCTAGTTCCAGGTAAGTATTTTATTAATTCTGTTTCTGCCTTCTAACTTGCTTCTCCAGATAATGGGAAGCTTTTATAAATTGCATTTAATATGTACTTTTTTCTTCAGTATTTGTCCTAAAGTATACATATTTGCATTTTAGTGTGGCAATATCATTGTAATATTAGATGACTGGTATTCCAAAATGGTAACATTTAAGTATTCATTGTTTATTCCTAAGTCTGAACTTAATGTATTATAAATCCTAACTTTAAATAGGAACACAGTTCTAAAAATGGTATAAAAGATTTTGCATTTATGATAATTTTAATGCCATTAGCCTTTTTTTGTCTTTTAAAAAAGCTGAGTAACAGGACATGAGATTACATTTTTCTGGGTTTCTCTTTTCACTCTCAAGTAGAAAGTATTCACTTACTGCCACTCTTAATTTTACTTTGACAAATACTGTAAATACAGGAATAGACACAGTAATCCTAATATTCTTTCTAACTTTCACTTTAAGGCACTGACAGTTGCTAGCAAACACCATAGGATTGTGAAAATGGACTTCAGAAGCCGATATCTGGACTCTCTTAAGGCTATTGTTTTTAAACAGTATAATCAGGTGAGCCCATCAGTGACTGTTTAAAGTTAAGTCTCCATTTTCTCTTTACAAGCCACTGAGCAGGTGGGAAGTTCACCGATAACAAAAGGAGATCCCTTCAGGTACTACTGAAGCAGAGAAAACTTTGTTAGTTAACATTACAGGAAACAAAATAATGAAATGCCTCACTATCATCTTTTTATGATCATATTTTGTGTTTTATACTGCTCATTAGTTATTGGAGTCTGTTAGATCCCAGTTTCCAGATCAGCTATTCTAATTAGAGTTTATTTTCTCTTTAGAATAACTTAGTGCCTTTTTAAGCTAATTACAAAAAAATTAATTCTACTACTCTCTTCTATTGCAAGAGAAAAGTAGAATTATTTTTTTGTCCCATCAGTCTAGTAGGTGATACAGGGGTTAGAAGTAAAGGCAAAAGCATTGGTTCATTAAGTCCGACAATTTATTTATTTGTTAAAATTATTTAAATGCATTCAATGTATCATCTACTTTTAATTATAAGAATGGATCTGGCCTTACAGGTTCAGGGTTATTTGCTCCTGTGCATGGCATCTGTGTGCTCATATGTTCAGACTCCTGTAGATGGGTCATTAATACCCTATGTATATCTTTGAGTTCTTAGATATATTATACATGGTGGGGCATAAGTAGGTTTACAGTTGTTAACATGGAAAATAATACAATGATTAATAAATAATACAAGACTAAACTCTTGTGTTTTAATACGATTATAAACCTACTTTTGCCCTATCCTATATTTATATACTTCATCTGTTCTACATAGAAAGAAGTAATGGCTCTCTGTAAGCCCTCTAAGGAAAACATATCTAACTTTAAGAAGTTAGATAATGATTTTTCTCCCATAGCAGCCCCCTCCCCTCTTACCAAACACATTCCCATCAAATTGCTATCAACTGTTTTGCTCCTAGGAAAATACACATTGTCAAATACTTAATTATAAAAACAATGGCTTTAGTGGGGGAAGGTCAGAGAAGGGATTTGAGAAATTCAGACTTGAAGTAGGAAAATTATTTTTACAAAAGGAATCACAGTGAGTTTTTTGGAGTTATAAAGACATAGCATAAAGCTAAAACTTCACATTGCAAATTCTGCCCTGATTTCTCTAGCTTTTGTACTCACCACCTATTTCTTCCACATCCATTTTTATGATAACAAAGTATAGACAGAGCTCCTCAGGCAAAACAGCCACGTTGCTCACCCTAGATGTCTCTGCCAATATCCTGCTCTAGGAGAAATGCTCCACTCAGCCTGTATATGGGCTCAAATCTCTCCTTGTTTGAAAAAATAAATATAAAATTTGAGCCCTGGCTGGTGTGGCTCAGTGGTAGAGCATTGGCCCGAGCAACGAAGGGTCTTAGTCTCAGTTCCCAATCAGGGGCACATACCTGGGTTGCAGGTTCGTTCCTGGCCCCAGTCAGGGCGTGTACGGGAGGCAACCAATCGATGTGTCTCTCTCACGTTGGTGTTTCTCTCTCCCTTTCCGTTCCTTCTACTCTCTTTAAAAATCACTGGGGGGAAAACTCCTTGGGTGAGGATTAACAAAAAAAAAAAATAGGTAAAACTTGACATACTTTTATGTACTAAAACAAATAATAGCTGTACTTCAAGGTGTTAAAATCAGGAAAACATTCACTTTTTCTTTTTTCTCTCTAGACTTTTGAAACTCACAACGCCACTACACCTCTACAAGAAAGAAACCTTGGGCTAGATATAAACAGTATGTGTGTTTTAAAACAAAAACTGAAATTTGAAAGTACACTTTTAAAAATGAAAATTTTTCTATCTCAGCAATTTGTTGGCAATAAAATGAAATGGTACAGCCATTCTGAAACATTTTTATGGCTTTCCAATGGCATAGGAACGGCTATTGATTTCGTATTAAGTAAAGAAAGCAGGAAAGAAAATTTGTGTATTTTATAATTCCAGTTTAAAAAATACACTTTTTATTCTCTGAAAAAGGGCTATACAGGAATATATAAAATGTTAACAGTACTTATTTCTGTGTGGTAGAATTATGAGTGGCTTTTATTTACTTTTTTATCAGTGCTTTCCAATTTTTCTACAATAAGAAAATATTACAATCAAGAGAAGAACCTGTAAACATTATCTTTAAATTATACAAGCAAGTTGAAAGGTTAGGAATTAAAGGGGGATAATTTAAGGATGAAATATACTCCTAACAGCTCTTTTATTTGAAATCTTCCATCTATAGTGGATTCAAGGATCATTCATGAAAACATAATAGAAAAAGACAGAGTACAAAGAGTGACTCAAGACATTTTCGGAGACTATCCTCAACCAAGACTAGAATTTGCACAGTATAAGGTAGGACATTGCTATAAACTATCTACAGTTATCAATATATTTTTTTTAATTGATTTTTTTTTATGCAGAGAGAAAGGAAGAGGGATAGAGAGTTAGAAACATCGATGAGAGGGAAACATCAATCAGCTGCCTTCTGCACACTCCCCACTGGGGATGTGCCCGCAACCAAGGTACATGCCCTTGACTGGAATCGAACCCGGGACCCTTGAGTCCGCAGGCCAATGCTCTATCCACTAAGCCAAACCAGTTAGGGCTATCAATATTTTTTTAAGAGAATAAAACATCTAAGTGAACTGGTTCTAAGAAACTTTCTTATTCATTTGTCACTTTAATTTTATATAATCAATTTATGAGTTAAAATAGACTTCTATAATATTTAGTAAGTTTCTCTATTAATAAAGAAGACCTTTGGAAATTTTAAATTTGCCTTTTCATTTCATCTTCCATATTAATTCAATTAATTATAACTGGCTATGATCTATTATTTTTGAGGGGGAAAAATTGTAGGCTATACCTTTCTAATCCATCCATACCTAGAACAGTACTTACAATGCAGTGGGTGCTCATAAAGACTTGTTGAATAAAAGAGTGAATAAATAAGTCATTATATAGTCCAGTTGGTATCACATGGAGAAAAAACCAGTAGCCTAGTTAGTTTTGTAAACCTAGCTCATCCCAGAAGTGTACCACTGCCCACCAAGAAGACCAGTGTCAGGGACAAGCCCATTGCCACCATTACAAGAATTCAAGGTTTTGTCATGATCATTAATCTCATACTCATGCTCATACAACACTCTCCTCCCCTTAAAGACCTCATTAAAATTCTTTCTGCTTAGTGCCCCTACAGGCCACACTTCAAATCTGCCATAGATCTGCTCATTTAGGCCTAATGCTTATTTGGTTGGATGTGTTTTCAGTACGAATAGCTCATTAACACCTTTCAAGTTTGGTTCCCTGAATGGCAGGTTTTAATCCAGTTCCTTTAGAAAGCGCATATTGTGCGACACTGGTTCTCAAAGTGTGGTCCCTGGACCAGCGGTACCAGCATCACTTGGGAATAGATAAGAAATGTGGATTCTCGGCCCCACTTTAGTCCTAATGGATCAGAATTCTGCAGGTGGGACCCAGCAGAATCTGGTTTTACACGCCCTCTCTAGCTAATTTTGAACACTAAAGTTAGAGATCCACTGAAGGAGTATACAGAAGATTTAATCTACAAAATTTCCCTTTACATATATCTTAGAATGGCTCTATTCTATAAGTCAAGGTGCACATTGATGCATACGTGCTACTAATTTTCCCCCACTTCCTATTTTGAAAAATGTCAAACCTTCAGAAAACTTGCAAGAATATTACAGTGAATATCCATGTCCCCTTTGCTTCAATTCACCAGTTGTTAACATTTTGCCACAGTTGCTTTCTTTTTCTTTCTTGATGCTGAACCATTTGAGTTAGTTGTAGGCATTACTCAGTCTTCAATTATTTCAGCATACTGCCTCTAAATGCGAAGGATCACTTTAAGTTTTAAAAGAAATTGAAATTAGAATCTAAGAGCCAAGTACCTATTAAATTAGCAATACTTGGATATTTGATAATATTAATTTTTTTATGTGTGGTAATGTAAGAGGATGAAAAGAGTCCTTTTTAGGTGTTTTTAGATACATACTGAAATATTTACAGATGGAATACTATGATGTCCTGGATTTGCTTCAGAATAATCCAGTGTGGGTGGGCTGGAGGGAATGGGAAGAAAGGTAATAAATGAAAAAATACTGACCATTAGTTGATCATTGTTTCAGCTCGGTGATATGCACATGGGACTCATTATACTGTGCACCTTACTTGTGTATGTTTTTTTTTTTTAATCTTCCATAATGAGAAGTAAAAAAGAAATCATGGTAGTGATTCAAAAGACATGACATTTTTATATTGAAATAACAGGTTACAAAAGATAGTGCTAATTTTCCATTAAGAATGCAAAATAGGCCCTACCTGGTTTGGCTCACTGGATAGAGCATCAGCCTACAGACTGAAGGGTCCCAGGTTGTACAGATACAATTCTGGCCAAGGGCACATGCCCAGGTTGCGGACTCGATCTCCAGTAGGGGGTGTGCAAGAGGCAGCCAATCAACGATTCTCTCTCATCATTGATGTTTCTATCTCTCTCTCCCTTTCTCTTCCTCTCTGACATCAATAAAAATATATTTTTTTAAAAAATGCGAAATAGGACACCTGCGGGCAAAACTGCCATCCAAGGTCTCCTGTGTGTCAGGCACTGTGCACACTTAGCATTTTGTGTGTTCTATCATTTGATATGCTGGTTGCCCTCTACATTTTCAGTTAGCAAATTAATGCTTCTCTCATCCATTAAGCCCTGTATTTCTTGGTGATAATAATTAGTGAAACGAGTAATCCAATTTTGTTACATGTTGCCATTCCAACTGATATATTTAATAGTCATTTATAAATATATTTGTTGACAGCTTGAAACAAAATTCAAAAGTGACGTAAATAGGGGCATCTTGGCTGAAAGAAAAGAACCTCTCCGGTGCCTAGTAAAGTTCTCTAGCCCGAATCTTCTGGAAGCATTGAAATCCTTAGCACCAGCAGGTAAGTAGTCAGTTTATTTTGCAAGCTAGAACAATTAACAGCATACCTACGTTCAAACCTCCCTTTGCTGACTAATTACCTCTGAGCTTTGTCATGACCAGTCTGGTATCCCATCTTACCCCGTATTGCATATTCTGCTTCTGCACATAATGAGGGTCCATGATCTTGCCCATTTTTAAACTGACTCAAATCTTTGTCCTGTGATTATTTTAATTGTCTATTTTTCTTTTTTTAATTTCAGGTATTGCAGATGCACCACTTTCTCCATTGCTCACTTGCATACCCCAAAAAAGAATGAATTATTTTAAAATTAAAGATAAATAAGACATATATGGTTTGTAAGCATCACATCTCCCTGACTATATTGCATACATGTTTCACTTCATGGCTAGCTATTTTAAACATGAACCCTTAATATTGACAATTTTAAAATGTTCAATATAATTGTTGGGAATGATTATTTCCTCTTCCACTGTGTGCTCCCTCTTCCTCATATCCTGCAAAGCATAGCAGTTGTGGGTCTTTAAGTGACAGGATGTCCTTTTTCTCACACCTGTCTCTCCTCTATCCTAGAGAGGTCTGGTTCCAATTGCTAGTTTTTAGGAATTTTCTCTTAAGCTTTGGATCACATAAAGAAATACCAAGAAACTATACCCAATTCAAAACTTTCTAGGAGAATCATAAACTTCGTACATTCAGAGGGTAGACTTGGGTCCATTAAGTTATTATTGCAGGAGGTAGTGTATCAGATGATTTAGTTTTATAAAATAATGGTTTCATTGTAAATATACTTTTCATAATCTATTTTATCATACATATGACATTCAAACTGACCAATTTTATACTGATTTGTGAATAAAGATATTTAAAAACAGATGGAAATCAAAAAGAGGCTTACTGTACAGATACATAAATACAATCAGAAAAAGGAGTTAAAGTATGCTTTATAATACAACTAGGGGCCTGGTGCACGAAATTCGTGCACTGGGTTGGGGGGGTGGGATCCCTCAGCCCAGCCCTCTCACATACTGGGAGCCCTCAGGCATTGACCCCCATCACCCCCCAATCGCAGGATCGCCCCCTGCCCAGGCCTGATGCCTCTGGCCCAGGAATCATGCCTGGGCAGGGGACCCCCAGACCCCTTCGATTGCTGGCTCTGCCCCCCGCCCAGGCCTGATGCCTTGGCCAGAGGAGTTGACCCTCATCACCCTCCTATCGCCGATCACCGGATCGGCCCCTTGCCCAGGCCTGAGGTCTCCGGCAGAGGTGTCAGGCCTGCGCAGGGGACCCCCAGCTCCCACCATTCCTGGCTCCGCCCCTGCTACCCACGATCTCTGGCACCGCCCCTGCCAAGACCTAAGGCCTCTGGTGGAGGCATTAGTCCTGGGCAGGAGACCCCCAGTTCCCCACGATCTCCCACTCTGCCCCTGCCTAGAGCTAAGGCCTCTGGCCAAGGCCTTAGGCCTGGGCAGGGGACCCCCAGCTCCCCACGATCTCCTGCTCTGCCCCTGGGTGCGGGGCTGGGAAGCCGCCGCCAGGGACGCTGGCGGCGGATGCTTCCCTGACCCGCACCCAGCTTCTGTGGTCATGGATCCCAGAAGCTGGGTGCGGGGCTGGGAAGCCGTGGCCGGGGACACTGGCAGCGGACGCTTCCCTGACCGGCACCCAGCTTCTGTGGATTCTCCGATCATGGCGGGGGGCAGGGCAACGGCGGCCCCCAGG